GGAGGAATCTAGAAAGCAATTTTTTGGCAAAAAATCAAAAGGTTAATGAGAATAAGGAATCCACAACATAAGATTTTTTCCATGACAGCGTCCAAACCCGAAAGCCCTGAAGAGTAAAGGAGTCTTGGGGATAAACAAAAGTTAATGTTCATTCACGTTAACAATATTCGCCAGATCTTTCGCCTTTTGACTTGTTCCATTTGCCAAACTTGAGAAAACGCCTTTCAGAAGGAAGAAACAAGTCCAGGAAATCATAGGATCTGCAATAATCCAGTATACAAAGGTTCATACCAGAAAATGAGTTCGAAAAACAATTGAAAATGAAAGAAATTGGATAAAAATGTTACTTACATGTGTTTTAATGAAAAGATAATTTTAGGTTAAATCATTATAACTAAATTATTGAAAAGCGACTTTTGTTTCTTTCCGAGCACCGAAGACATTATTAAACGACCCTTGTATAAGGTGACCTACCGATGTACAATATCAGGTGTCCTCTGGTCCCCCTACTGATGTACAATATGAGGTGACCTCTAGTCCCCCTACTGATGTACAATATACGGTGACCTTTGGTCCCCCTACTGATGTGCAATATAAAGTGGCCTCTGATCCCCTTACTGATGTACAATACAAGGTGACATCTGGTCCCCCTTCTGATGTACAATATGAGGTGACCACTGGAGTTTTATGAAGAGACTTACTTTTACAATCGACTACTGACTTTTACAATTTAAACAATGACTTACTCCATTACTTAAAATGTAAAAGTCAGCTGTCTAATGTAAAAGTAAGTCTCTTCATAAAACTCCATTAGTCCTACTGATGTATAATATAAGGTGACCTCTGGTCCCCTTACTGGTCCCCTACTGATGTACAATATGAGGTGACCTCTGGTCCCCCTACTGGTGTACAATATAAGGTGGCCTCTGGTCCTACTGATTCACAATATAAGGTGACCCCTGGTCCCCCTGCTGATGTACAATATAAAGTGTCCTTTGATCTCCTTACTGATGTGCAATATAAGGTGACCTCTGGTCCCCTTCTGATGTTCAATTAAAGGTGACCTCTGGTCCCCCTACTGATATACAATAAAAAATGGCCTCAGGTCCCCCTACTGATGTACAATATAAGATGTCCTCTGGTCCCCTTTTAATGTACAATGTAAGGTGACCTCTGGTCCCCCTGCCAATGTACAATATAAGGTGACCCCTGGTATCCCTGCTGATGATCAATATGAAGTGACCTCTCATCCCCTTACTGATGTACAATATAAGGTGACCTCTAGTCCCCCTTCTGGTGTTAAATATAAGGTGACCTCTGGTCCCCCTTTTGATGTACAATATAAAGTGGTCTCTGGTCCCCCTACTGATGTACAATATAAGATGACCTCTGGTCCCCATTCTGATTTTAAATATAAGGTGACCTCTGGTCCCCCTTTTGATGTACAATATAAAGTGGTCTCTGGTCCCCCTACTGATGTACAATATAAGATGACCTCTGGTCCCCCTTCTGCTTTTAAATATAAGATGACCTCTGGTCCCCCTGCTGATATACAATATAAAGTGGCCTCTGGTCCCTCTACTGATGTACAATATAAGGTGACCTCTGGTCCCCCTTCTGATGTTAGATATAAGGTGACCTCTGGTCCCCCTTCTGTTGTTAGATATAAGGTGACCTCTGGTCCCCCTTACTGATGAACAATATAAGGTACAATATAAGGTGCCTCTGGTCCCACTTCTGAGGTACAATATAAGGTGACCTCTGGTCCCCCTGCTGATGTACAATATAAGGTGACCTCTGGTCCCCCTACTTATGTACAATATAAGGTGACCTCTGGTCCTTCTGCTGATGTACAATATAAGATGACCTCTGGTCCCCCTACTTATGTACAATATAAGGTGACCTGGTCCCCTTACTGATGTACAATATAAGGTGACCTCTGGTCCCCCTACTGATGTACAATATAAGGTGACCTCTGGTCTGATGATGTACAATATAAGGTGACCTCTGGTCCCCTACTGATGTACAATATCCCCTGGTACTGATGTACAATATAAGGTGGACCTCTGATGTCAATATAAAGTGACCCTCATCCCCTTACTGATGTACAATATAAGGTGACCTCTAGTCCCCTTTCTGGTGTTAAATATAAGGTGTCCTCTGGTCCCCTTTTAATGTACAATGTAAGGTGACCTCTGGTCATCCTGCAAATGTACAATATAAAGTGACCCCTGGTATCCCTGCTGATGATCAATATAAAATGACCTCTCATCCCTGCTGATGATCAATATAAAGTGACCTCTCATCCCCTTACTGATGTACAATATAAGGTGACCTCTGGTCCCCCTTCTGATGTGAAATATAAGGTGACCTCTGGTCCCCCTTTTGATGAACAATATAAAGTGGTCTCTGGTCCCCCTACTGATGTACAATAAAAGATGACCTCAGGTCCCCCTTCTGATTTTAAATATAAGGTGATCCCTGGTCCCCCTTTTGATGTACAATATAAAGTGACCTCTGGTCCCCCTACTGATGTACAATATAAGGATGACCTCTGGTCCCCCTTCTGATTTAAATATAAGGTGACCTCTGGTCCCCCTGCTTATGTACATTATAATGTGTCCTCTGGTTCCTCTACTGATGTACAATATAAGGTGACTACTGGTCTCCCTACTAATATACAATATAAGATGTCCTCTGGTCCCCCTTCTGATGTACAATATAAGGTGTCCTCTGGTCCCCCTGATACTGATGAACAATATAAGGTGCTCTGGTCCCCCTACTGATGTACAATATAAGGTGACCTCTGGTCCCCCTTCTGATGTACAATATAAGGTGACCTCTGGTCCCCCTACTGATGTACAATATAAGGTGACCTCTGGTCCCCCTACTGATGTACAATATAAGGTGACCTCTGGTCCCCCTACTTATGTACAATATAAGGTGACCTCTGGTCCTTCTGCTGATGAACAATATAAGATGACCTCTGGTCCTACTACTGATGTACAATATTAGGTGTCCTCTGGTCCCCTTATTGATGTTCAATATAAGGTGACCTCTGATCCCTCTACTGATGTACAGTAAAATATTAGGTGACCACTAGTCTCCGTACTCATGAAAAATATCGGGTGACCTCTGGTCCCCGTACTGATGTACAATATAAGGTGTCCTCTGGTCACCCTACTGATGTACAATATAAGGTGAACCCTGGTACAACTGCTGATGATCAATATAAAGTGACCTCTCATCCCCTTACTGATGTACAATATAAGGTGACCTCTAGTCCCCTTTCTGGTGTTAAATATAAGGTGTCCTCTGGTCCCGCTACAGATGTACAGTACAATATTAGGTGACCACTATTCCCCGTACAATATAAAATGACGTCTGGTCATCCTTCTGATGTTAAATATAAGGTGACCTCTGGTCCCCCTACTGATGTACAATAAAAGGTGACCTAAGGTACCCCTGCTGATGTACATATGTAACTTCTGGTCATCCTTCTGATGTTTAATCTAAGGTGACCTCTGGTCCCCCCTACTTATGTACAATATAAAGTGACCTCTGGTTCCCCCTACTGATGTTCAATATAAGGTGAACTCTGTTTCTCCTACTGATGTACAATATAAGGTGACCTCTGGTCCCCTTACTGATGTACAATATAAGGTGTCCTCTGGTTCCCTTATTGGTGTACAATATAAGGTGACCTCTGGCCCCTCTACTGATGTACAGTACAATATAAGGTGACCACTAGCCCCCGTATTAATGTAAAATATCGGGTGACCTCTGGTCCCCGTAATGATGTACAAAATAAGGTGTCCTCTGGTCCCCCTACTGATGTACAATAAAAGGTGACCCCTTTTCCCCCACTGATGTACAATATAAGGTGTCCTCTGGTCCCCCTACAGATGTATAGTATAAGGTGTCCTCTGGTCCCCCTACTGATATACAAGAGAGGACCTCAGGTCCTTCTGCTGATGTACAATATAAGATGACCTCTGGTCCTACTACTAATGTAAAATATAAGGTGTCCTCTGGTCCCGCTACAGATGTACAGTACAATATTAGGTGACCACTAGTCCCCGTACAATATAAAGTGACCTCTGGTCCTTCTGCTGATGTACAATATACGATGACTTCTGGTTTTACTACTGATGTACAATATAAGGTGACCTCTGGTCTCTCTACTGATGTACAGTACAATATTAGGTGACCAATAGTCCCCGTACTAATGTAAAATATCGGGTGACCTCTGGTCCCCGTATTGATGTACAATATAAGGTGTCCACTGGTCCCCCTACTGATGTATAGTATAAGGTGTTCTCTCTCTCCCCCCCCCCCCCACCTGATGCACAATATAAGGTGCCCTCTGGTCTCCCTACCGATGTACAATATAAGGTGTCCTCTGGTCCCTCTACTTATGTACAGTACAATATTAGGTTACCTGTAGTCCCCCTACTGATGTACATTATAGGGTGACCTCTGGTCCCCCAAATGATGTACGATATAAGGTATCCCCAGGTCCCCCTATTATGTGCAATAAAAGATTACCTTTGGACCCCTATTGATTTAAAATGTAAGGTGACCTATGATCCCTCTGATGATGTACAATATAAGGTGACAACTGGTCTCCCTAATGATGTTAAATATAAGGTGGCCTCTGGTCCCCCTACTGATGTACAATGTAAGGTGATCTTTGGTCCCCCTATTGATGTAAAATATTAGGTTACCTCTGGTCACCCTTTATTATTTTCACGTTTCTGCTAATATATATATTAGAAAGTTGATCTTTATAAAGTTATAAATATGATTATTTTGGAGTAAGACAAAGAAAATTGTCTATCATATAAAATTCAATTAATATATAAGGTGACCTGAGGTCTCCGTATTGATGATATCGATGAATTTACTTTTGTGCCTTTAATGCCTGGAGAGTTCCTAGAATGTTTTATTACTACGCAAAATGACGAACTATTTGCGGGGGACCCCAGGTCCTAGTTCAGCGTACGTAAGCTAGCCAACACAGAATCATTCAGATCAATTGGTGCGTCACCATCAGACCCCTATGAGGAGTATTATCCTCCATGTAACGAGCTTCCATACCCTTCAGAGGAGTACTGGGTCTGTAGAATCAAGCACTATGCGTTCAACGTCTGGCATCCAACGTCTACATGTAGAATGGGGGCATTGGATGATCATACGGCTGTTTTTGATCCACAACTCAGGTTTAAAATTTTATTTAACTTTAAAAAAAAAATAATATTTTGTTTAATTGTGAAAAATAAAGATTTATTTTAAAAATTTCAGATTCGTTGTCTATCAATCTTATATGAACTGAATTGAAGTCTGAGTTAAATTGAACTCGAAAGAATGAATATACATGTAACTCAAGAACATAATTAGGGTACATGTAATACTCGCAAAAATAAACTTAGATATATTCAGAATATATATATAGTTCAACAATCTGAAAATCGTTATATGGATTACTAATAAGCAATATAAATATCGTAAATTATTTAAACTATGGAAAAAGAGGATTTCTTTGTAATTTCTATTGTCATTACAGTTATTTATTTTCATTTTAACAGGGTTAAAGGTATACAGAATCTTCGTGTAGTCGATGCCTCCGTCATGCGTCACGTAACCTCTGGAAACACAAATGCTCCAACCATAATGATAGCAGAAAAAGCGGCCGACATGATTCGAGGAATAGATAGTGTTAAAGATATTCGTAAAAGAATTATCAATTTATAAATATTGATAAAAGATGAAGTGTTAAATTTTTTTGGGAGGAAAGGGGGGATCATGCGTGTGTTTACACATTTCAAGGCAAGAAAACATGAAAGAGGAGATATAACATTCTTTTCATATCAACGTAAAGATATTTACATATAGGTCGAATTAGGGCATTTTAGAAATTTGAACAAAGTAAATTTGTTTATGATCTATCATAAGTTAAGATTCCTAATAGCCACATACCACTCGCTGCCAGTGGACATCCATTTCAATGGTAGGTTACAGAACAAATAAAACCTGGTATAGAAAATAAAAGAGAAAAAGTTCATTTGCAACTTATTTCATTTTTTCCTGAATAATACCATTATACCTATTGAAAGGTATTCTAAGAAACTTTGTAGTGCTAGATCTACTAAGTATGACTTTAAATTAATACCAGTTTTTGCAAAAACCTATGAAATCATAGGAGGATGGAAATACCTTAAAATACTTTACGATTAGAGTTAAATTTTTGTATGGAGAATCCTCTAGACAGTACAGGTTTGATATACAATCGATGTAAAAACTAGGCCTTTTAGATCAGTGTACATCAACTTGTGACAGTGACCAAACGTCTTATATATAGAATTGATGAAACATTAGTAGAGATGTGAAATAGTACTGACACCGTATCACATGTTAGATGTATAAAACTTCATATTTTTGTGCGATAGATTTAGGTAGATTTTAATGACTACTTACTTTATTGAAAGTTTATTTGCCCCACGTATCTTTTAATGTGGAATTAAATCAGGCCTATAGAGTTATTATAAGATGCTTTATAAGAAGAATGATCAATAGGTTCAGTTTCTTACCATGCACATCTATTAATTCCCTATTTGTGTTTTAGTTTAGGTTTCTTTATATTATAATTTCATTTTCTAAATTCATAAATTCTTTTTTCTGATATAATAATTTCGTGTTTCTTAATTTGATAAATACGTTTTCTTTATTTGATAATTTCGTGTTTCTTCATATAATAATTTTGTTTTTCTCTATATAATAATTTTGTTATTCTTCATTTGATAATTTCGTTTTGCTTATTTTTTTTTTATTGAATCATTTGGTTTTTCTTTATTTATTTTTGGTGTGCACTATTGGGCTTCCGTATCATTGACATACAAAGGTAACATGCAAGTTAGTAGGTCGCTGAATAGCTGTGTACATAATGATATATGAGATAGCAATATCCTGCAGGTATGTATTTCAGCATTTTATTTTTTTTTTTTTAATTTATTTTTCGGGGGGTTATGTTTGATCTGCAAATGATATATTTCATGTATGAGATTTAAGAATACTGCAAAATTGATAGTTGCATGGATGCAAAATAAGTTAACTTAGTGCTTCGTATATCATTTAGATTTGACTTTAGTTTATATGCATCTGATTTATGGGGAATCCTGTTAAAGATTTATTTAAATATAAAATGCTTTCTTTGGTTGTTAGTATGGGAATTAATGTCGCAGCTATTGCAGAAAATAATTATACATAACCCGCGGGTTATGTCATTTATTTCTGCAACTGCTGCGACAACCAAAGAAAGCATTTTATTGTTTATATTTACATATGTTTAAAAAAATCATTCAAAGTAAAATGCATTTTTTTAACTTTTGTTTTAAAGATGAACAGCCATTGTTCAAGAAAACTACACAAGTGGCTCGCTCAATGTTGTTCATGCACTGATTAATGGTAATGAAATTCATAAGAAATAAAGGGGAAAATATT